CTTTTTGGAATAATTATTGAAAGTATATGATTTGATTAGAATAACTTTTAGAAAACAGGTCAGAATGGGAGGAGGAAATGTGAACAAAGGCTAAAGAAGTACAGACAAATACAGATGAACTCCAGGAAGAAATAAGCTGTGAACAACCAAGACAAACATTTTAAATAACGTATAAAAGAATTGAATTGGATTGTCATACAAGTCACAATTAAATAAATACAATTGGGAAGAAAAAATAAATTTTAACAATAAAAATAAGGAAAAAAACATGCCAACCTCAGCAATTCTTGCAACTTAGAGTCGATGTTAAAAAACTTAGTTGCTGAGAAATGGGTATCTGCCTCATCAAGAGCCGCCACTGAAACCTCGGCTGTCCTTTTTCGTCCGTCCAATCTCCATTTCTCTAGTACGTTGACCTTCACTACTCGAGCCTGACGGATATAACCCGTATTCACTGGTTGGATTACTGTATTGATCACTGCTGACGTAATCCTTGCTGGCCAATGCCATTTTCCGGAACTTTTTCATGTCATCATTGTATTGCGCAGTGTCATAGTCGGAACTTCCATAAGAACTATACACAGTGCTATGTCCGGGTCTAATTCCTTCGTTTAGATCAGACAGGGATACATCACCTTCTAAAGCTCTCACCACCTGCCAAAATTTTAATATATCGACAACTTTAGAACAGACAAATAAAGAAGTCGTAAAAGGATATGCCCAATTTCGGAGCTTGCCCATGATTCTTATCTATTGTCATGAGTTAATTATACTAACTTAAAAGCTTAAACTACTAAAGAGGGTTCCGTACAATCTTCAATTCATTTAGCTAGGGCACGTATAAGATCATGCGTAATGCCAAAAATCATTTTACTTCCTAAAAGTATTATATTATGGAAGCACAATATAAGCTCTTCAAATATTCTCAGTCAGCACATTACCTGGCTCATTCTTGGCCTACGCTTTGCAGAATGACGAACGCAGGCAGCCGTACATGCCACCATGCTAGCAAGTTCATTATGATTGTAGTCATTTTGCAGTCGTGAATCAACAAGGGTATCGAAGTTTCCATCTTCCAAAGCTCGAGTTAGCAAGGGCCGAGCCTATATACATATACATCCTATTAATATCCGCTTTTCAAGAATACAAAACTTATCCAGCCTCGTGAAGTGAATAATGAGAAAAGATGGACCAAAAAAGGCGGAGAGAGAGAGAGAGAGAGAGCGACATCTTGGTGTAAGTGACTACTCACCCAATCTACCAAACTATCGTCCATGAAAGATTGATTTGAATCAACAGGTCGGCGTCCAGTAATCAACTCGAGAAGCATGACTCCAAAGGAGAATACATCGGACTTCTCGGTAAGTTTTCCAGAGGATGCATATTCCGGAGCCAAATACCTGCATAGCACGATGTAAATGTAACAAGATGAGACCTCAAAAATCGAAAAATATTTTAGTAGTAACAAACACAAAGTCCATAATTCCGAAATCGATACTAGACAATGAATATCTATAGTTGAATGATTAAAATATCTAATAATTACAGAGTGGAGACATATCAAGCTTACCCGAATGTTCCCATCACTCTTGTGGAGACATGAGTATTTGTGTCTGAAGAAAACTTTGCGAGACCAAAATCTGCGACCTGAGAAAATAAATGGCATTCATTTATCACCATAATTACACCGACAACCTAATCTATTTCTATTGCACGGAAATTATACAAGTCTAGGTGACTAGCTCATTTCATTAAAGGCAGGAAACATCTCAAATTTTTACTGATGGAGCCGACAAAATTGCCAATAGTACTTGAATCATAACCCAACAAGCCTTTACCTTCGCTTCAAAGTTAAAATCCATAAGAATATTAGACGCTTTGATATCCCGATGAATAATTTTTGGATGACCTGTATACAAAAAATACTAATTTTAGAATCGAAATAAATTTAAAAGACGATAAAAACACACCCATTTTCTCCATTGTTTGAAATATGCGCTTATATACATTAACGACTACTTACAATCTTCATGAAGGTATGCCAGACCCTTCGCAGCCCCGAGAGCAATCTTTAACCGTGCGGGCCAATCCATTGTAGGTCTCCCCTTTCCTGGTATATGTTAAAAACGAGTTAGTTTTGCAAGAGTTGAAACGTAATCAAATAATGGGAATAAAAAAAATCTGTCTTTGAGGTCAACAAATTTTAATAACAAAATAAGATCTGTTCAAAAAACTAACCGTGCAAGTGGAATTCCAAGGTATTATTCGGAACAAACTCATATACGAGCAATCTTTGGGTCCCAGTGATGCAGTATCCAACCAAAGAAACAAGATGTTTGTGATGCACTCGACTGATGATCTCGACCTCAGCCTGAAATTCACGCTCCCCCTGTCCACTCCCAGATTTAAGCTGCTTAACTGCAACCTCTTTACCATTCGGAAGAACTCCGCGGTGAACATAACCAAAACCACCTTGCCCAAGAAGGTTGGCATTAGAGAAGCCATCTGTTGCCATAGCTAATTCTTCATACGAAAATGTGCTCTTAGAAAACCCTAAAGCCATGCTGGGAGAAGGCGGTGGAAGTGGAGCTTCCAGACCAGAATAGTTCGAACCAGAACCTCCACTGCTGCTCATGTAAGGAGCCGGAGGTGGAGGTGGTGGAGGTGAAGGAGCTTGTATGGGCGAGTGCGGTGGTCTTGCCAAACCGGCAGGTGGTGGTGCAGGTTTAGTTGGTATTGTCACAACATGATCACCAGATGGTGGTGCATTATGCTGCCAATTCTGATCTTGTCTACCATAGGGGTCGACTAGAGAATATCAAAATATGTCAAAAATTAGCTACCAAAATCAAGTTAAATCTAGGACAAACGAATAGCAGTGATTAAACTCCCTATATTTTTTACGAATGTATTATGAAACGATGCATTACTCCAATGCATCCTGGCACTTAAATTCAATTTTCTTCTCTTTTTACCTTAAATTTTCATTAGATGGATTTTTTATAATTATTCATTTACATATAAATAAACTCCTTCATGTATCGGAATTTTTTGAATAAATGATCCAATTAAACCCAAAACATGAATAAAATTCTCGAAAATTTGGGGTAAAAACTCATACCTTTATGTCCAGTTGGTGGTGGCGGAACATAGTAATCCGGCGAGCCATTGGATCTTCTTTTCTTCTTCTTGCAACATATAAACAGCAGACTCAGAATTGCAAGTATTACAACACCCCCTACGGCTATCCCAATCACCATCACCATTGATATCCCTCCACCATCCGACGACGGTGATGGAGGCGAAGGCGGAGATCTTGCATTCCAAGGCGGAGACGGAGTATTCCTGCTCGGTGCAGGAGGGGAATTCCCAGTGGATGGAGCCGGCGGAGAATTCCCTCCAGTGGGTGGCGACGGAGGGGTGGGTGGGGAACCAGATGGAGGAGATGGTGTTGGTACGGTGGGGGAGGTAGTTGGAGGTGGGGTTAAAGTGGGAGGAGCAGGTGGAGAAACTGGAGCAGGTGTATTGGAAGGCGGTGGTGGTGCTGAGGAAGTTGGTGGCGGAGAGGTGGTTGGAGGAGCTGGGCTTGCAGGTGGTGGAGAAGTTGTTGGTGTAGGAGGCGGCGGTGATGCGACTGGAGCAGGTGGCGGCGACGTAGCATTAGTTGGTGGTGCTGGTGGTGAAGTAGGAGCCGGCGCGGCTCTCGGTGTTGGTGAAGACATTTTCCGATAAGTCCCTGTTTCCAAAATCTACTAGAAATTATTACAGATTATGTGAATGTTATAGATACTAAACGAGTATGAATAGCTGTCGTCCGAAAATTTCCGGCGGTGGTCTTGATTCGTTAAGTTCGACAGTTTCGCCTTCAGTTTTGTTCCTCTCCCTAGATTTTTTAGAGAGAGAGAAAGTGAGTGAGTGAATTAGACTATTCATTGGGAATAAAATATAAAGAGAAAAAGGTGAGGAGCCAATATTATTATTATTTTTTAATTAATGAATTGTTTTGAGACTTTATGCAAGCCAGCGAGTAAAGAGCGTGTTTGGTTTAGCTTTAAAAAATGGAAAAAAAAATAGATTTTTAATAAAGTAAAGACGTAATTAAAAAATAGTTTTTCATTTAAAAACTCCAATTTATTTATTTATTTTGAAAAAGCTCAAAAATGAGATTGTTTGGCCAATTTTAAAAGTGCACTCATTGATTAAATGAAAAAAATTAGTAAATTACTTACTAAGAATTGAGTTTTTGTATTTGGTTTGGTTTGGTTTTACTTTTCTTGCGAATTCAAATATTTTCTGTAGTGAGATTGACCTATTTGGATTTTCCCCCCCCTTCTGATTATACTTTTTCGAGGGTGCATTTTCTTAACTTTATCATGGAAGATAGAATATATGACCAAGACGGGATTAAGTAGAAATAACGAATGCTACCGAATCGATCAAGAGTCAAGAAATGAAAATGAAGACATCAATAAACTTCTTGAAAAGGGAATAGCAGGTGGAAGGGTGTTTATACTTACTTTAGGAGTGAGTACACCAAAAAATGTTGAAGTCAATTGCCCTTTTGTCAGCAAGTTATCCCGCCTACCTCATCTATACACATTTTTATCCCCCAGCATGCAAGATCACATTGACATTCAATGCTATTTAGCGTTAGTGATACTATAGCACAAATTTAGATGACCACGTTTGATACGTTCAATTAAATAAATTATGTGACATTATATTTAATGTCATATCATTATCACCTAAACTGATGCCTAACACCAATATTCCTAAATAACATTGTTTGTTACAAAACTGTCAAGTAGCCTTTTGTTTCTATAACTTCAAAAGTGAAATAAGTATTTTTATTTTAAACTAAGAAACAACATAATTTAGCCCCTGTTTGTCTACCATTATCTAAAAAAAAATTTTCTACAGTAAACAATCTCCACCACATATTCACCCAATGAAATATTCTACACATAAACCAATAAAATTACTTTAAATTTCAACCACACATTCTCCAAAAAATACTATTCATTACTTTATTTTCCTCTCTATAATGGTAGGCAAACAGGCTCTTATCTACATTTATAAATTTTCTACGCATTTTTATTATTTTTTAAATTTAGCCAAACATGCTCTGAGTAATCTGTGAAGAAAAAGTAATAATTTTATATTAAATTAGCCGTTGAACATTTTTATATATTAATCTTACAAAATAATTATAATATTAAAATAATAAGTGTGTGTTTTCACATTCACATGGTGGGGGGAAGGAGAATTGACCGAATTGTCCTATGCAAGACAGGTTGGAAAGCGGGACCGAATTGTCCTATGCAAGACAGGTTGGCCGCGTGTCCTACTCTTTTCCTTATCGGTTGGTGGCCGTCCTTAGTCGGATTTGGTACCGGAAATTAGCCCCTCATCGTCTCATTTACATTCTTCAAATTATTTTCGAATAAATTTATCCCCCGCTCGTCTCCCGCTCTTATAAAACTATTTTTCTATATACTCATTTTCAAGAATACATTTACACAATAAAATACTTTTCACGTAAACTCAAATCTTTTTTTACTATACATTCTTTAAAAATTTACTGTTCAAAAATATATTTTCAAAAAAAAAAAAAAAGACCACCGAACATGGGTTTAATTACTCTTATCATATTTCTTGACTAAGCATTTTTTCAATCTAACAGAAATTGCTTAGTTGTAAAAGCGGCAGAGTAAGCATGGGCGGCTCAAGCTCAGATTTGACCAAGCATGAGCCAGCTCAACAGCTTGCAAAAATTGCATGTTGTAAGTATTTATTTATTTTTATGTGTAGGAGTGGCTCGAGGGGCGGTTCATGAGCCGGCTTGACTCTGTCCAACACAAGCCGAGCTCGAACCTAGCTCAAGCTCACTTTTTGACCCGAGACCTGAGAGCCTATTTGCAGCTCGACTCCTTGAACAATGAGTTGTGAGAGTTATGATAATATCTTTTGATTAAAAAGTTTTAAATGCATTTTTAGGGCTTTTATGACGCGGTGTAATTGTGAATTGACATGCAACACAGTTATTACGTCCATAGTTGGCCCTCATTAAATTTTAATTCATTATTCTTTATTCTCTTATCAACCATTCTCTCAATAAAATAAGGGTTATACTACGTGTACATAATTTTTTACCTAATC